TGTGTGTGTGTGTGTGTGTGTGTGTGTGTGTGTGTGTGTGTGTGTGTTTGTGTGTTTGTGTGTGTGTGTGTGTGTGTGAATGTCTAGGTAAATCAGAAATATACAGGGGCAGCATGGATGCATATCCGGCCTGCTTTTCTTGTCGAGATCAACCAGTTGGATGGATTTTTAAGGGTAAATCTGGGAAAGAGATAATCCACGCCCCGAGCCCAACAGGTTGTAGAGGTGACAATACGAACAAGTTTTTGGCCGAGGGTCACTGAAAAGTTCAGGGAAAGAGATGATCCATGCCCCGAGCCAAAAACTGAATTGGAGATCAGAAATGAAACAGAAGAAATTCAAGAAAACGCATTTATCTGCTATGCTACCAGATCAAACATCAGGGCCCTTCCCAGCTACCTGGGATATCCAGCCGGACAGCCCACATAACCAGCCAGATAGATGGGTCAATCTAGTCCGACGCGATGTAGAAGGCAAGGTTTGAACACTTTGAAAGAAGAAAATTAAAAACAAACAAATACAGTTCTGAAAAACAGACCTCCAAATCCTCAATAATTTGAATATAAAAAAAACATGAATGTAAATTGGATATCTGGATTTCTGGATGTCTGGCTCAAATTGCCCGCAAATCTAGGCTACCGAGTGGCCCAGGAACAATTGCCCGGCCGGGCAAAAAAAAAAAAAAAAAAAAGTCTTTAAAATTTAAATTTTTAATAATTTAATTTTTAACTGAAATTTCAATGTGACCCTGGAGCAAAAGTTGTTCAGTTTATTTTTCTGCATACGTTTTTTTGGATTTTTTTCCGGATTTTTGGAATTGTTTTTTTTGTGCTGGGACCTTCCCTGGTACTCGCCCGGCCAGGCCGCCCAGGAAAACAGGCTGACCTGTGCGGCCCGGCTGGTAGCCTAGCCGCAAATCCAGGTTCTGACATCGGGCGCAGGTGGGCCAGTCACATTGGTGATGTAATTTAGTATTAAGTATTTAGTATTTACTATTTACCTATGATTTGCAATCAGACTCGACTTAGTCACACTTTGACATGCATGCAAACAGCAAAACAGCAAACTGGCGACATGCGCCCACACAGTACTCGAAGATTTCGTAACCAGATAAGAGTTCTCTTCCAACTGGCTATGGCAACTGTGCGCCCACACAACTCACTGTTCGCACTCTGGATCACCCTGGATGTCCCACACGCAACACTCTGCACTCACACGCGACACACACACACACTCACTACTAACTACAGCTATGGCAGCTGTCGCTGCATCTAACCTATCCCTATGCTAACTCCCTCTCTCTAGCCCACTGCGTCCTCCGGGCTCATCTGCAGACCTCCTTGCACAAGTCGCTGTGGCAGCGCTTCCGCATGGCTCACGSAGGAATGAATGAATGGCTGGGCGCTGCCTCTTGATTTACACTTCAGAAACTCGTTGGTCTGCCCTTTGCCATCGGCCCTTGATGCTCACAGTCCCCCTGTGGTACTTGCTGGACCGGACTGGGACTGACTGGACCCTCCGCTGACTGATTGTGGACTCACCGCTATCCTACCGACGTTGTACTGCTGTTGCACTGCGTTTTAGTCCACCACTTGCCTCACCACTTGACCACTTGCCCACTTGCCTACCTTCTAGAAGGTCTACAGCTAAGCTTCCRGAACTCACTAAGACTCCTACGCTATAGACCTACAGATCGAACCCCTGCTGCCTATGGACCTACAACAGGCCTACCAACTGCCTACGAATACACAGGCCACAGGTTCAATTCTCGGGGTCTACACAGATACTGTACATGGGTAGGGTGAGGTCTAGGGGTCGAACCCTGGGTACTGCATCCGCCACTGCTAAAAGGTGAAAACCGTTTCACTCCCGCCGGCCTAAATTCGAGGTCCTCCGAGAAAATTTCAGTCCAAGGCAGGACCTTTGCCCCTTTCCTGTCTCTCGTAGGCCCGGACTATATCGGGAGCTGTCTAGAAGTTCGGATCTGGTAACCAGCGCTCGTCTTCGGGTTCCTGATAACTAAAATGAACCTTGTACTGTTTCTGCGGACGACCTCTACCTCCAGTTCTGAAGACGTCTTCAGCCACTATACCATCTATGTCGTATCTTCCATCCATATCTGGTGGGATCATCGATCTACGGGATGGAAACTGATCACTTGTTTGACAAGGTAGCAACTTCGATGCGTGGAAAACTGGGTACGTATGGAGGTGTGCTGGTAACTCGATGGTGTAGGACGGTCCATCTTCGCCGCCCTTGACTTCCAGAACAGGCCATGGCCCTCTATATGTGGGCAGTAACTTCTGCGAGATGTTCTCCTCAGGTGCAAACTCTTTAGAACTAACCCAGACTAAGTCCCCTACTTGAAACTGTGAAGGGCGATGATGTTTGTTCGATGTTCTATCATCCTATGCTGGGCTTTCCTGAGGTTTTCTACAACAGTAGTTAGTTCTTTCTCGTGCTGTACAGCAAACTCCCTGGTTCCGGGCGGTAATCTCTGAATCTGATCCCGGTTGAGTCCTTCGAACGGTCTGCGCGGTCGAAAGGACTTGTGCAGTTCGTTGGGAGTGCGGCAGGTGGACAAATGCACGCTCTTGTTATACGCACTAGCTACTTTAGGCAACATCTCGTCCCAGTTAATCTGATCTGTCCTAATGTACATGCGCAAAACTTGCTGTAGGATCTTGTTCATTTGCTCTGTCTGACCGTTAGTCTCTAGATGACGGCCGGACGACATCAACAACTTAGATCCGTATACTCCCATTAGTTCTTGCCAGTTCTGGCTAGTAAAGCGACTATCTCTATCGCTAACTATAGACAGTGGGATTCCATTCTCACTAAAAAAGAATCTTTGCATGAATAAATCAGTACGTGCCTCTGAAGGCAAAGGAACAAAAACTGCGTACTTACTGAAACGGTCAACTATGACCATGACTTGGCTCTTGCCATGCCTACTCTTGACTTGAGTGTCCATGAAGTCTATGGACACTGAGTCTCCTGGCTGGTCAGGAATCGGTAAGGGTCTAAGAAGACCTAACGGCGCTTGCGTGCGACTCTTATTACGCTGGCAAACCTTACAACTGCGAACATACTCTATGCAGTCATTCTTCATCCCTGGCCAGGTATACGCGCGCATCATATTGGCTAAGGTGTTTTGCCAACCAAAATGACCCTCTGTGTCATGGCATTCGTCCAAAATCAGACTACGAATCTCTTCGCTATTGGGGATGCACAGACGGTCAAATACATTAGTCTTCTCAAAGAGCAGCCCTTCAGTAGTGCGGTAGTTCGACTCAATCTCTAAGGCCTCCTTGACCTTCTTAAAGAGTTCATTATAGATAGGGTCCTGCGCATAGGCCTCTCTAACCTTTTGTTGCAGGTCCTTCCCTATATCAAGATAGTGTACTATTGCCCCAAAGTAATCTGCCCTCCTACTCAGAGCATCCGCGACTACGTTGTACTTCCCTTTGACAGGCTTGAGCTGGAAGTCGTATTGGTCCATCTCTGCGGCCCACCTAGTGAGTTTAGGTGTCATCTTGGCCTGCGTCTTTAACCATCTCAGTGTCTCATGATCGGAATAGACTTTGAAGTGCCTCCCAAGCAAGTAGTGCTTCCAGTGGTCTAAGGCTTGCCTGAGAGCGTAGAGTTCCCTCTCATAGGTAGATGTCACGACCTTCTCTGAAGTCATCCTGGCGGACATGAAGTCTACGGGGCTATACCCATTGCCATCGTCTTGCTGCAACACTGCACCTATGCCCTATTGGCTCGCATCGGTCGTGACGACGAAGGGCAAGGATGGGTCGGCAACTTAAGGACTGGATACTCTATCAATGCCTGCTTTAACTTCTTCATGGCAGACGTGCAGTCCTTATCCCACTTCCAGATGGTCTCCTTTCTCAGCAATCTGCGAAGGGGCGCAGCGATGGTRGWGAAGTTCCTCACGAACTTCCTATAGTAATTAGCTAGGCCCAGGAACGAGCGCAACTCTGTCAGCGTACGTGGCGTGGGCCAATCTCTAATCGCTGCGATCTTGCTATCCTCTAGCTTAACGCCGTCTCCGTCTAAGAC